CCCCAAAAATCTCCAAAACACAATCTCGAAAAACACTCGATGCAGAAATCACGTGTTCGTTGGTGATAGAAACCCACAACGGACACTCTCGCTCTCCAAGGGTCATATCAAAACTCCTATTAAAGGATTGATATATGAAGATCGACTCGCACCCGAGTCGAATAACACAAAAGAGGGCAAGGAATTCACTAAGAAGATACGTATCATAAGCAAAAACATAAGCATTCCATAAAATAATTAACAGAATGATAAATGGAAAGATACTAGTAATGACGTCTGACGCCGCCCTGGCCTCCTTTGGTGTGAGCTAAAAAGCATGACCTCGAGCCCTCGGGGGCTCCACCTACCCTGACACCCATATGTGATCCTCAATGTGGCTAGTGCTGGAGGTTATGCTAGTCCTGCAGTGAACAAGGGACTGTTGGCCTCCATATGGCTAACCTGCTTATAGTGATAACATATCCTAGTGCTTGGGACAAGGACTTGCTGGTGACAATCCTTGGCATAATGCCTCTCCTTGTCGCATTTTTGGCACCCAAAATAAGATCGACAAGAACCATCATGAACCTTGCGTACCATGCCACAAGTGTGGCCGCTCTGACCACCAGATCTCACTTCAACATACTTTAACCGCTTCGCTGCAGGCTACGTCTACACCAGAGCCTGCCTCTTCTCCTTAGCCTGGAGCACCATCTTAATCTCATGCCTCCTCACGGCCTCCTGAATCTCCACAATTGTATCGTAGCGCTGAGTGGACACAAACTGGCGGATGTCCGTCTTGTGAATGTTCAAGTAATGGGTCATCTGAGCTTGCTCAGAAGTAGCAAACTCATGACAAAACAGAGCCCACTCACTAAAAATCTTGGTGATCTCCATCACCGACTCAGTATCCTAATTCAGATCCAAATACTCATGGGCCAGCCACTCCCTCTACACTAACGGAACATATCTCATGAGAAACATCTCCGAGAACTACTCCCATGACACCGCAACCCTCTGCTTGGTGTGTACGAGCCAGTCACTAATCTCCACTAGTCCTTTGACCGTAACCAAAGAAGGTTCATGGCGCACTTGACCTTCTAGTCATCAGGGCAGAAGCATGTAAAGGAACACCCATCAACATCAAATAAACACATCATTGGAATTATCGGATCCTGAACTCCATCGAACACCGGAGGCTTCGTATTATCGAAGCCCCGCTACTAGAATGCTCTCTCTCCACGAACCCCAATGACTACAACAACAAAAGTGTTAGAAAGTGCAACATAACGATCGTCGAAAAGCTCAATCATGGTGTTCTTGATAGACCCAAACAACTCTGGTATCGATCCCAGGACAACAGTAACAACCTTAGCAGAAATCAACTGCTTAATCTAATCCTCAGTCAACCCTAGCCTATCTTAGCCGCCCGCTCCGGCTCCTGAACCTGATCCCCTTGTGAGCACCATACTGAAAATAAACCAAAAAAAATATAAGACAATACGCATTTCATCCCATACGATATATTCTAAATAATGAAACCCTAGGGGTTGTGACTTCCCTGCTATGCGTATGAGTCCTATGCTTCTGGTGTACGAGCCCATACTACCTTCCATACCTACCCGTATTTATCTCAGAAGATCATCACAACAACCCAAACAGCACACACTAGAATACACATACATCCTATTCTCACTCCCTAGAGAAAGACTAGACATTCCTTAATTGGCTGGCTACTCACACATAAACCTATCCATGAAACTTCCACCAACTCTGCAGCACTCGTGTATGCTAATCATACATAACATTGGATCCTATAGACAGTCGAATGCTTGATTCTACCTTAAGCCCTTCATTAAACAAGAACATGAAATAAGGCTAAACCAAACATTCTCAGTCTATAGAATCTTAGCTATGTACAACTATGATGCATGCACTAAGCAACTATAGTAATGATGTCAATTCCATACAAGAAATAATCCTAGGCTATCAGACATTACATATCAAGCAATTCTATCATGCAATTCCTGAAGATCCTTAGTCTACCACCAACATGTTGTTCAAATATAAATATAATATCAATAACATAGTGGGTAACTTGGGGTATACTTTCTTGCCCGACTGATCGTACACATCGCATCCTTCCTTTGGTTACTTTTGAAAATAATTTTGAAAGCTAGTTTAAAAAAAACGTTTGCAGTTCCCTAGTTTGAGTCTGGATTCAGACAAATATTCATAAAATTCTCTCAAACCAATGCTCTGATATGAACTTGTAACACTCCAAAAAACATAAAAATTTTAAATTTTAAATATTTAAAAATCAACCATTAACCATCATTGTTTACAAAAGGAGTCATTATTTCAAAAGTAAAATCATATTAGAATGTCCCAAAATTTTATATCATGAAAATAGGAAGATATGCACGATCAGGCCTTCGCTTTCCTACGATCCTTAGAAGTACTTGAAACAATAAAGTAAACTATAAGCCAAATCTTAGTTAGTTTCCCAAAGTACCAACACACTACAGGACAAACAAAGCATGTAAAGATAAGCCTTCAACCTGACTGGACAGCCTCGCAACCAATGTTTTAAAACCTAGGTCGACCCGGCCGGTTTAACCGGTTGGACCGTGACCTAGGGTAGAAGGCGAGTCAATTGAGAACGGTTTTTTGTAAAAATATGGATCGGATCGAACCGGCTAGGTTTCCCTTAAACCGCGGTTCAACCGCTTATGTTGAACCGGTTAAAACCGGATTGACCCTTTTTAATAAGGTTTGGATAGTTGGATACAAGTAGCGAACGTCAAAACAACGAGTCGTTTGCGGTTTCTTCAATTTTTAAACTATGTGGACATCAAATTATTGGTTTTATATGTTTATGCATTATGAAGGAAAGCAAAAATATATAAAAATAGAAAAATACCATAAACCGAGTTGACCCGGCGGTTCAACGGTTTGAACCGGTTGACCCGTGAACCGGTCATCACACCGGGTCAACTAAAAGCCCTGGTTTAAAAACATTGCTCGCGGCGCCTACAACCTATCTCGTGGGGCCTACAACCTATCTGGACCGCTCTACGAGCCTTCGACATGATTAGACCTCCTCTCAGGGCCTACAACCTATCTGGACCGCTTTCTGGGCCTTCGGCATGACTGGACTGCCTCTTAGTCCATTTTTATAAATGTTTTCCTAAATAAAGAAGTCACAACTCCTACAAAATTTAAATAAAACAATATTACCAAAGTTCGTAAAATGAAGGTTTGAGATAAAACAAGAAAGTTTTACCTGTAATACGTAATATCTGAACGAAAGTCACAATGAAGGTTTTTCGCTATTTTAAATCTAATTCATTGCAACGTCATTGAGGGTGTCAAAAAATGTTTCTAAAAATCCCCAAAAACATGCATATTGAAAATTAATAAAAAATATTATATACAAGAATATACATTTAAAACTCCAAAAAATAATAAAAGCACAATAATCTGTCAAGAAAAACCAACATATGACATATTATCATGATCACATTGAATAATCTCTTAAACCAACGATTTGTCTCAAATATTGCTACACAAAAGAAAGAGGGAAATAATCAAATAAACAAAATATTTTTGAATGACACTTTTTTTTAAACGAAGAAATATACAAAATTATTCTTAAATCATTCCACTTACATATATTACAGGATCTGAATCATCGATCTTAAAGAAGAAGGACAATACCGGATACCGCTGGATACAAGACCTTTAATGAATAAAACACTCTAATAGTAGAGTCTTTGATTCCTTTTATAAGCATGAAGACCCATTCAACTTTTTACAAGCAAGCTACTAATACCGAACAAATTTTACACTTTAATATAACCAACAAATCTCAACTTTAGCTAAAAATGGAAAACTTGTCACGTCTACAAAACATGGTTTCAACCAACAAGCATAAATTATTAACTCTAACTATTATCATACTTCATTATAAACTCGTATCTCCATTTAGAACTATCACCTATAATTCATTTCACCACATGTTAGAAACTTGTTGAAAAGGAATATATAATATAACTTCTCCTTTTTGCATATCTAAAACTAAAAAGTTCATTATCAATCAATATAGTTTCCGTCATACATCTTACATATATATCGAACAAACTTTAACATCTTTGAATGCAAAAATAAATAAAACACATTCTTTTCCTTTGTAACATGACATATCGCAATGATATCATATCTAAAAACAACAATGTTTGTTACTCAGACCTTTATTTCGAATTCGCTTTACATGGACAATTTTCCATAACATGCTCAAACTTTCCATATAGTTCTTTTTCTATACATGCACGTCAAAACCATATATTGTAATAAAATGTTATTGCTAACTTACAAAATTTTCTCCTATAACAAGTTTTAGTGACCTTACTCAAATCGCTACTATAATCAAGGGATCAATTCATCAAGTTTTAGTGACCTCACTCGAATCGCTACTATTACTATATGTATCTTATGTAACCCAAGATTAAATTAACACATCCTCGATGTAGACTTTCCACAAGTTGAATTTGATCTTTTCCATCTATTTTCTCTACATAGAACCCTAGGACTAGAACTTTGTCATTTTTTAATCTCAAAACAATATTTTTTACTAAACAAACAAAAAATTTCTTTATAATGTGGAAGATTGACAAAACTAAAACATACACCAAAAGAAAATAAAACAAGCACATTAGGAGTAATCATATACACAAAGTACTTCTAAACTCAAAAATCAATCGTCATCAAAATTATGTATTTACATATATGTATATGATTCCATTTGTTACTTAGAAACATTTAGAACACAATCATCAAACAAAGTTTTTCTTTAGAACACAATCATCAAACAAAGTTTTTCTTAGGCAACAATGGCAATTGTATTCAAAGTAACAAATTAAGATCAAAAGAACACCAAGAAGGTGATAAAAATATATACATATACCATAAAAAGTAAAAACATTATTATCTATAAAACGAGTTCATTCAATTTCAACCCCTCAACCTCTCACCATTCTATTAAAAACAAACGCATTCATATCTTCATCATCTGTAATACGAAGAGATGAAACAGCATGTGCAGCCATCTGTCCCACTGCAGATGACACGTCATCACCACACCCATACCCATACCCATGTCCATATCCGTATCCATTCCATTCACATCTCGATCCTCCATGAGCGTTCAGAATCCACCCAAATTCTTCATTTCGAGTTCTGTAAAACGCTTGATGATGGCTGCTGCCACGTGTAGGATCATCATCTGGGCCTTCTTCAATCAAAACCTGCATCGCGACTGCTTCAGCTATGGCAGCACACTCTTCATCCAGCCTCTGTTGCTCCTCTTTCTTCTTCTGTTTCTTCTTCTCAAGCTCTGAAATAATGGCTGCTGAGGTGGCAAGGGCTTTCTCCAATCTCCTTTTTTTCTTTTCTGCTTGTTTGATACGATCTAATTCGTCTTTCACCTTCTTTTTCTTCCCCTTACGTACACCAGAAACGGATTTACCACTATCCATGGCTTTATAATTTAGCTTATGTGAAAAAAAAAAAAAAAAAAAAAAAAAAACTACAACTATTTTCTATGTAGTTGTGTTGTTTACTTGCTATTGTCTAAAAGTATCTATCTAGTACTAAAAATGTGAACTTTTTTTTATCCTACACCCACTCAGATGTGAAAGAATATCTCATCTTACGAATAAGACAATCCCAAAAGGATATAGCTGGATCTAGAATAAGAGAGTATTGATAAGCACTTGATAAATCGTCTCTTGGAAGTAACATTGTTTCTAATTTCCCACAGCCTGTGCATTTGCTCATTTCTTGAAAAGATAACCAAATAAATTAGGTGAAGATCTTGCTCCAGTTCAAACGATCCGCATGGAATTTACTCCTGAAATGGAATCAAGGAAGATTATGTGTAAGAAGAAGAAGAGTTGATTCAATTGGTTAGAAAAAAAAAACACACACACACACAAATCGCTACACGCATATTGCAGGATTGTAGAAATTAGTCCTGGACTCGTAGTTCTTAATAACGTGTTTCAATTGCATTGTGTTAACGCGAATTTTAAAGATCAACAGGTAAAAAGTAGTAATCAATCAACTAGGTGGAAAATTAGGGTTCGTGAAAGACGAGAATTTCAATCAATTGTTGATAAACAGTAAGCAATTGAATCAAGTGAAATTAAGATCCGTGAACTCGAAGCAAAGGCTCAATCAATCATCGACCTACCACAACAAACACATATAAACCCTAAAAGAAAGAATCAACTAGCAACTAACTTAGAACCCAATTACGGAATTGTAAACTTCAACATAAAATCTACAAAACCAGATCAAATACGGCAAACTAAACACACGAACACAAATCAAATTCAGATTGAATTACAGAACAATAAAATCAAACCTCGTGAGAAGAATTATAACTAGAACTTGTGATTGCAAGAACTTGGATCTGAATTCTAAAGATGAAACCTAAGACGAAAGGGGAAGATATATAGAGAGAAGGATGGATAATATAAACTGATCACATGATAAAGCAAAGTGCCGAACGGAAAGAGCAATGGCATAATTGTCATTTCCATGAAATTTTTGGACACGTGGCGGACGATTAGAACGCAATCTAGAATGTCACGATTTTTGGTTGTTGGGCAGCCGTATGCTATCTAATCTGACAGCTTGTTTGATGACACGTGTCGGTGACCGCTTTGCTTATGTAAGGGTGATCTGTGACGTTGATTTGAACGGCCAGGATGAATTTTCAAAAATAAATACAATTTTGGTTTTTCTTCTTTAATTGGTGTGACATCTTAGCTAAATTTGCGATTTCCACTAAATTATCGGTGAATTGGGATTATAGAAAATACTGGAATATATTAAGACCAGTTAAAATTTGATTCTTAGAAAAAACTTTCTATTTTTTTGATGAATATTCTCATAGAAGATAATGATAGATCAACAATGACGATATGAATTTGGTAGTATACCAGAAATAATCTTACGTAAAAAGGTGAAAGAGTTGTGAAACATTGAAGATCACACGTGAAGAAGGAAATGATAATTACTTTAATTTTTTTGAAGGATTAAAATAAATTCAGGATATGCTTTAGATTTTTTTGACAAACTAGATAAAAAAATATAAAAACGATAACTATTTTCTTGAAAAAGAATTCTGGATTTAGATATGTAAAAACAATGGAAAGTAATTTAAGAAACTTCTAATTAACCATTAAATTAGCGAAAACCAATATCATTTAAAGATATACAGAAAATTAACACATGTCAATGGAGCGGATTTGAAGCGAATCAATTTTTTTTTTTTTTTTTTTTTTGAAACGGCAAATCTAACCTACTCCTAAACCTCTTAGAGTAGGTTAATCTCCCAAGAAATAAGAAGAATACATAGAATCTTTTGGAGCAATTTTCTTAATGTTCCTCACATGGAATATAAATATACTACCTACACTAACTAAGAAATTGAAACTGCATGCATAATCATGGCCTCCTAAATATAAGCAATTACTATTTGACCAATCTACCCTAATAAATAAGAATGATTTTGCTACATGTCTACCTCTCATTCAATTTGCCACATGTCATTTTGTCATAATTTAGAGATATATTTATTTTCCACTTGTCATTTATTTAATTTTCCATTTCTAATATATTATTAATTAGTTTCCATAAATTAAACCTACCATAATGATATTAATTTCAAATTTTAAAATTTAAATATCAATTTCAATTTTAAATAAATTTACAATTTAAACCTTTGTGTTTAACATTTTGTTATAATTAACCTGTTTAGTATACAAGTCTGATAACTAAACAATAATTTTAATTTATTTATTTTTTGCATGTTTTTTTTCTCATAATTTTTATTTATTTCAAATTTCAAATTCAAATAAATTTCTCATTTAATCATTTGTATTTAACATTTTGTTTTAATCAACCCGTATAATATACGGGTCTCACAACTAGTTGACTAATAAAAAGAAAACATGGCTAAATAAAACATGGCTAACAGGTTCGTATCAGTACTCCTTCCCTAAAAAATGGCATCGTCCTCAAGGCCGAGATCGTATTGTGTGTTGAGGGTCCATGCTGGTTCGGTTTCGGATTGAAGAAGGAGGAACTTGGGTGGGTTGCATTGATGACCCGGTTGATATTTTGTTGGACAATTGTAGCAAAGACCTTCGGATCGTCGTTTCTGCATCTCGGTAGGGCTTAACCATTTGATTGGAAGTGTTGGGGGAGGTGGTGTGTAACAACGTGAATTTTCAAAACAATTTTTCATTTTAAACACATAATTCATTCATTAAGAAATCCCAGACTTCAATGTTTACATATCATCTGATAAAACAATTCCCAAGATCACAATACATAAAAACTCTGCAAGTGTGTACAGATCATGCCGACGCCTTCCCACGATCATCACTGGTATCTGAAACACATATCACACAACACGGTAAGCATAAATGCTTAGTGAGTTCCCAAAATACCACATATAACACATACGCCACTCGAGGCTATAGTACGACCCTCCGATTGATGTGTCTCAGCGGGAAACTCTAGTCCCGCAGCTCGTTGGACCCTCTGGTCTGGTCATAGCTTGTTGGATCCTTCAGTCCGGTCTGTATCGTTGGACCCTTCGGTCTGGTTTATATCGTTGGACCCTCTGGTCCGGTCTATACAACTCATAGCATACAAATATAAAAATGCACATAATCTCATACATACACATAGTACACAAGACCCTCCGGTCTACACATAGATGTATAGTGAGAAGACTCACCTCGGATAACTCTATAAATCTCGAACTCGGAAATACTGGTCTAGCCTCCGCCTAATCACATAGAATAATCATTCTAATAAATATGACTCTCAAAGGCTAGGCTAAACTCCCTCTAGGTTATATCAGAAAGGTAAAAGACCATTTTACCATCCCATGCCTCAAAGGTCCAAACATTGGCTAAACCCTAAAAGTCAACAAAAGTTAACCCTCCGGGTTACGCGACACATACCCAATCTGTAAGCTGAGCGTAACCGGCAACTTCACAAAAATGGGGAGTGCGACCCCTTACACCGTGCGTACTGGTATTACGCCCAACGTAAATCCCAACTTTATACTTCTTTATGTTTTGGGTCTTAAACAGTTAAGACATACACTCAAACTTCAGATCTGACTTCTCTAAGGTCACTTAATCCATAAAGTTGAAACCTTTAAGCCTTTGCATGGCTAAAAAGGTTATGACTCCTTCCAACTTCTTATCCCCTTTTCACATTAAGACCATAACTCATGCATGACTCCATCATGACGACCAAGATTGGATTTTTATGGATCTAACACACATATAACACTGAAATGGGACAGATCTAGGTCCATGGAGTCCCTTTGTTCATAAAGTCTCCACCTTTGGGACTTAAAACCCTAAAAATGGCCCATAAAACACAAATCCAAAATGAAGAGGAAAGTTTTGAGCTTTTTACCTCCAAGTGATGTCCTCCCATCTAAAAAGCCTAGATCCAAAGCTTGTACTTCAAGACTAGCTTCCACAAAGGTCCTCTCTTCTTCTTCACAACACAAAAAGGAACTTTAAGCTCAAAAAAACACACACACACACACGCAGAGGCTTAGGATGAAGGTTGGCTCTCTCTTAGGGTTTCACTCTCTCAAATGGTGGCTGAGGATAAGGCGTTAGCTTTCTTTATATAGGGCTCAAGTCACAATTAGGGTTTGTATTTGGGCCCGCTACGCCCAGGATAACCCTGGGTACGCCCAGCGTACCTAGGCGAGTCCGCATCCAAACTAAGCGCATGAGTACGCACAACGTACTCTTCAGTACGCCCACCGTACTCAACGACCATAAATTACCTTTAGGGTTTAATCTTGACAACTTGAAAAAGAATAAGGGTTAAATAATCATACCTGAATATCGGGATGTTACATGGTGGAGGGTGGGAAATAATGGCGGTTTTGTGAGGGGAGACTCGATGGAATCCTCGGAAGATGAAAGTTGAGCACGAAGTTTATCCTCGATTAGCTTCGTGAGACCATAAGTTTGATGGAGAGTTTGGGGGCGTGAAGGGCAAGTTCGGCCTGAATATATGGGCGAAGACCGGAGATGAAACAATCACGTAATGAGTGGGGAGGTAAACCAACGACACAATTACTGATCTTCTCAAATTTAGATTGGTAGGCAGCAACCTTGGATACTTGGTAAAGATTAAAAAGTGTAGCTTGGTGGTTCTCATAGGTGGAAGGGCCGAAGTGGGTTTCAAGACTATAGGTAAATTCAGCTCATGTACCAAGGAGGTTTTTGTTGGTTATATGTTTGTACCCACTGAGGGCATCACCCGTGAAGTAAAAAACGGAAAGGGCAAGTCGTTGGTTTGGTGGGATAGCATAATAGGTAAAGTAGTTTTCCGCTTGGAACACCCAATCCAACGAGTTTGATCCATCAAAGTTCGGGAGGTAGATTTTTGGTGGGCGAGGGTGAGCATTAGGTGGTGGTGGTGGCGGCATCAGCGGTGGTTGTACCTGGTTGTTGTTGTTGTTAGCGGTGAGAAGCTTGACAATGTTGTTCATGGTGTTGGATTGTGCAACAAGATGAGTGGTGATGGTGTCTAGGCGATTGTTGGTGGCGGTGACAAGGTGGATTAAAACCTCCAATTGATCGTTAAGGGCGACATTAGGGTTGTCAGGGGTGATCTTGGGGTTGTCGGAGGAGGAGCCAAACTCAATTTTTGGAGGCATTGAGACGATGATGAAAGCACCAATTGATATAAACCTGTTAGAATAGGTTAATCTCCCAAGAAATAAGAAGAAGACATAGAATCGTTTGGAGCAATTTTCTTAATATTCATTCATGCCTCAAAAATAAATTACATGGAATATAAATATACTACCTACACTAACTAAGAAATAGAAACGTGCATGCATAATGGAATCATGGCCTCCTAAATATAAGCAATTACTATTTGACTAATTGACTAATTAAAAGAAAACAAGGCTAAATAAAACGTGGCTAACAGTTTCATATCATCAATCTTGATCCAAACCCGTTTAAAAAAATAAAAACATGATCCACCCAACTCTAATAACACTCAAGGTCTTGAATAGTTGAAACTATATCCGTATCAACTGAATCAACGAATACTCGACCCTTTTATAATATTAAATTTTCATAATTTTTGTGTGTTCCACAAAGTAATATTTCTCAAAAAAATAAAATGTCTATTTAAACAAGATGTACATTAATTAATACTCAAAATCCAAGACAATAAAAATCACATTTTACTTAGACAATGAGTTGTATACTTTGTTGTTATATATATATATATATATATATATATATATATATATATATATATATATATATATATATTAAATGGGGCGGGTCATAAGTGGAGCGGATCGACAATGATCCATACCGACCCAGTTACTAAACAGGTATGAATCGTAAACTGGTAAATGAATAAAAAAATTAAAATTCAAAACCGTTAAATTCTTACGGGTTTGGAGCGAATCATGGTCAAAACTCGCCCCATTGACAGGTCTAGATTAACCAATCGAATTTCAATTGCATTTAAGAAGGTTATCCGGAACTATTGATTTGCTAATATCTTAAACCTAAATCTAGATCTAAAACAAAAAGAGGGTAATCTGTTTTTCGGTTAGATTATTTGGTTAACCAATTAACCGTTTATGAATTATAAATACATTTTTATAATTAGAAAATATCACTGTAAGCAAAAGTTTACATTTTATTTTTTGTTCATTTTGCGTTTGTCTTTGTTTGATCAAAATGGGTAAATCAAATGTTTCTATCTTTTTTTTTTTTTGTGAAGTTAAGTTTTTATTAAACATGTTGGTGACTTTGTATCATCAATATGTATTTAAGTGTAATGGATTGATTTGTTGACAAAATCAATTTTGATGAATATTAAACAAGTAAGAAAGGTGTGGAGTGCATACTTGTTTAAGTTTATTCAAAATTCAAAGTAGACTGCCATTTATGGGTGAAACCCGAACGAACAAGGGTCCAAGGGCAGCGCCCCTGGGAGCAGGGTTCAAGGGGCGACATCCCATGACGGGGTCTAAGGGGTAGAACCCCTGACTGGGGTCGAAATCTGTATTTTTGGAAATAAACCCGGTTTTTGATTTTGTTTTGACTATTATAGAAAGAACCCGAATTAGTGACAGTTTTCAGACATCAAACTGTTTTTTGTGACAGTTTTTCAGACATACAATTATCTTGTGACGGTTTTCTGATGGAAAATGTATTTAACTAATTTTGGTCTTCATTTGATGGTACATTCAAAATTCATAACAATCACATTTTCTGTTATTGCTCTTAATTTCTGAGTCTTATCCGATTAAAGATCGAAAGTATTATCCAAATACTTTAATCCAAATACTTTAATGTAAAAATGATACAATAATTCTTAAAATTTCCAAACCTTTCTATACCTCAAAATTCTAACAAAACATAGAGAATATTGTAATATAATGATAAATATCATATAACCATCAACCAAAAAAATTAAATGAATATGAAGAAAAAAATCACAATTATATTTCTCAATTGGATTATCGATTCATCAATCTGTTGAGGATGAAAATGGAATTACAATGAATATGAATAATATAATTGGTATCTTTTTGTGAATTTAAATATTTTATGGCAATAAGTGAATAACAAAATACAATGGTAATCATTATTACTTCTAAACAGTAACTAGTTAATATCGGACGAAAGTAGAGGGAATTTAATTTCTCTCAACTAAAAGAATAATAAACAATAATACATAATATTTTAGTTGTTAATTGAAATACATTTTGTGATAAAATATAATAATTGTTAAATGATATTTACAATTTTTGTAAACAACTAAAAATAGTTTAAACCTGCGGTTTTCTGGCTAACCGTCAATAGCTGAAAAACATGAACCTTAAACCAACCAAAAAACCCAATGATTTTACCGGTTTTGTTAACCAAACTGAAATACGTTAGAAATAATGGTTCGACTAAATAACAACATCGTTATAGTTTTTTGGTTTTTAGGTTTCAGATATTTTGAATACCCCTAATGACATGCAAAACTTGTTGATCAAATTTAAGTGGCGAGGACCAAATCTCAGTCAATTCAACAAAAGATTCGTATTAAACTAAAACTTAAAGAACTGTGCAGTTTACTTTGTTTGAATTTTATATTTACAGTAGCAGGGACGTTCTTCTCTTGATTCTTTAAAAATACACATCTTTATAATGAATTAGCACTACTACACAAGTGATTTAATAATGCGACTCATTCTTTATTTTTGAGGCGGTTGATAGTAAAAACCGCCTCATTAAATGTATAACGCATTAAATAATCAAAGAACCGCTTTAAAAAAGCACCAGATAAATTATGAAAAGCTTTTGTTAAGGCGGTTAAAAATAAATAGCTTCAAAAAAAGATTTTTTAGTGCTACTTCATGTAACAACATCATTAAATAATGATTTTTTTGATGCTCTTTTTATAAAAGAGCATCATTAAATCTTTATCTTTTGATGCTATATTTTAAAAAACTCATCATATGAAAACACTATGACTTTTTAGTGCTACTTCATTGTAAAAGCATCATTAAATAAGGATTTTTTGATGCTCAATTTATTAAAATAGCATTATTAAATCTTTGTCTTTTGATGCTATATTTTGAAAAAAAAAGCATCAAATGAAAACCAACTATATTCGTCTTTTAGGGTTTCTGTAAACTTTAACATACTTCGAACTTTTGGAACATGAAGAATCTCTGCATTTATGAAACATAAACATAAATGCGTAATAACTCAAAATACCCTCATTAATTGTTTTGCTATCTTCACTAAAGATAATTTAAATTTTATTGTACTTTTGATTTTATTCTAAGTATTTATTTATTAAATGATTGTTTATTGATATTTTTTAAATTGATTAGTGTAGATTGTGAACATGTGAAAATTTTCATAACTTGTTTGTTTAGAATCAATATATTTACCTTCTTTGAATGTTTATTTTAATTTTCAGATGAATCGTGATTATTGGATGTACAACACTTCACGTTTTTCTCAATTTTATATAGAGGGTGTTCAAACTTTTATTAGGGTTGCCGAAGAAAATCGCTTAGAAAAAGGAAGTGGATCGATTTGTTGTCCTTGTAACGTTTGTAAAAACTTTAAAACGTTTAATTGTACCGAAGAAATAGAGTATCATTTGTTGCAAAATGGTTTTGTGCCTAATTACACTTGTTGGTCAAGACATGGAGAAACACTACTTGATTGTAGTACATCCTCGAGCAATTTACATATTAATAATAGTACATGCAACAAAGATTCATATGTTGATGATGATGATCACCATTCAAATGATCTAAATGACAATTTCAATGAAATGTTCGATGACATGGAGGCTAATATGGGTGATGTTGAACAAGAAAAATTACATGGCCTATTTGAAGAAGCAGAAACACCGTTATATAGCGGTTGCAAATTTATGAAACTTGATGTTGTATTGAGGTTGATGAACTTAATGTCGAAAAACGGATGGAGTGATAAAAGTTTCACAAGTCTATTAGTGCTTTTGCATGACATTCTTCCGGAAGACAATGAATTACCCATTTCTACATACCAAACAAAAAAGCTAATGTATCCGATGGGATTGGAAGTTGAAAGAATACATGCATGTCCAAATAACTGTATGTTGTATAGAAAGAAGTTCGAGAATAAACAAAATTGTGTTTTTTGCGGTGCATCGAGGTATAAACGGAAAAAAGATTTGGATGAAGTTGACGATGATGTGACAAAAAATGGACCACCGGCTAAAATGTTGTGGTATCTCCCTATTATACTGAGACTGAAAAGGTTATTTTCAAACGAAAAAGAAGCAAGTTACTTTGTTGGCATTCGGAAGAACGTGAAACTGACAAAAAACTAAGACATGTTGCAGATTCACCTCAGTGGAGAAACATTGATAAGAAGTATCATGAATTTGGCAAAGAGATGAGAAACATACGGTTTGGGCTTAGTTCAGACGGGATCAACCCTTTTGGGAACATAAGCAGTCGTCATAGTACGTGGCCGGTTCTTTTGTGCATTTACAATCTTCCACCGTGGTTATGCATGAAACGGAAATACATTATGATGTCGTTGTTGATTCAGGGGCCGAGACAACCTGGTAATGCTATTGATGTGTATTTGTCTCCTTTGATTGATGACTTAAAAACTCTTTGGAGTTCGGGTGTAGATGTATATGATGCTTATAAGAAACAACACTTTCAATTGCGGGCCATGATTTTTTGTACTATAAGTGATTTTCCAGCATACGGTAACTTGTCAGGATACAAAACAAAGGGTAAGAAAGCTTGTCCAGTTTGTGAAGATCAAACAAGCTCGATATGGTTAAAAAATTGCAAAAAAAACTATATACATGGGACATCGAAGATTCCTTCCGAAGAGTCAAAGTTTTAGGAAGAAAACTATTGATTTTGATGGAAGTATCGAGATCAGAACGATGAGGAAACGATTTGATGCATTTTCACGAGTTGCAAGTATAAATGTTGTGTTGGGAAAAAGATTTCGTGTTGATAAAGATGCCCTTTGGAAAAAAATCAATTTTTTTTTAATTGCCTTACTGGAGACATTTGGATGTTAGACATTGTCTAGATGTTATGTATATTGAAAAAAACGTATGTGAGAGCTTGATATGCTTATTATTAGGTATGATGCATAAAACTAGAGAGTTTAATATCCGAAAGGACATGGTCGAGATGGGGATACATGAAGATCTTGCTCCCGAACAAAGTGCTAACCGTGTTTATCTCCGAGCTGCTTGTTATACTACATCCAAAGAAGAAAAAATAAAGTTTTGTCAATGTTTACATGATATTAAGGTTCCATCAACTTATTCTGCAAACATTAAAAGATTTGTGTCGAAGAAAGACTGTAAATTGTTTGGAATGAAGTCTCATGATTGTCATGTTTTAATGACACATATGATTCCTATCGCAATTCGTGGAATTTTACAAGATGATATACGACATTCTATCACTAAGCTTTGCTTGTTTTTTAACAACATTCACTCAAAGGTTATTGACGTAGAAGATTTGGATAAATGGGAGAAAGACGTTTATGTTACACTTTGTGAATTAGAGATGCACTTTCCACCCTCATTTTTTGATATAATGGTTCACTTGATATCTCACATCGTACAAGAGATTAAGGCTTGTGGTCCCGTATTCTTACGGTACATGTACCATTTTGAAAGATACATGGGTATCCTAAAAGGTTACGTAAGGAACCGTAATCAACCTGAGGGTAGTATTGTTGAAGGGTATACTTCTGAAGAGGTGATTGAATTCTGCCAAGGTAATCCTATTAATAATATATTATAGTTATAAACATTTATAATATATTACACATAATATAATAATTTATTTTTTTATAGGCTATATGAAAGATGTCGAAAGTGTTGGTGTTCCTAAAACTCGTCATTCAGGTCGACTTGAAGGTAAGGGAGGAGTCGGTTCAAAAATAACCATGCCAACTTATGAAGAGTTACAAGTTGCACATTTAGTGGTCCTAAAACACATGAAATGTCTTACTCTATACATTGATGAACACATGGACATGTTGAAGTTGAAATACCCGGGCAAGGAACAAATGTGGTACATAAACAATCATAATAAAGAGTTTTCAAGGTGGCTGAAAAATAAGGTAGCAGAAACTAATGTTGATGAAACTGTGAAAAGATTGGGACATGGGCCAGATTGTAGAGTTAAATCTTATGAAGGGTATGACATTAACGGGTATACCTTTTACACGAAAGATCAAGATCAAAAAAGTACAATGCAAAATAGTGCAGTTACAATGATAGCATCAACGAGCGAAATCGATAGACGGGATCATGATACTTTGATAAGAATAGCCAGAGATTCTTATTACGGTGTTATACAAAATATTTGGGAGTTGAACTATTTTGACTTTGTTATTCCCGTGTTCAAATGCAAGTGGTTGAATAACCGTACAGGTGTTCAAGTCGACAAAGATGGTTTTACACTTGTCGACCTTACAACTAATGGTTATGCATCTGAACCATTCGTTCTCGCAAAACATGTCACACAAGTTTTCTATGTCAAATACCCGAGCAAACAAAAAGAGCACATCGTCTTACAAGGTAAACAACAAATTGTTGGTGTTGATAATGTCGTTGATGAGGAAGAATACGACCACTTTGATGATCTACCACCATTTTCGGTCGGTATTGTACATGATAATTACGATAATGTCGAACGCACAACATTCGTACGATCTAACATTGAAGGGACATATGTTGATTAAGGGCATGATTGGGGTTTTTCTTATGCATTTTTATTATTGCGATTACATGATTTTTGTATGAAATACTATCTATTGATAAGATTAATTACAATATGGTCATTTTCTTTTGATAATTACAATGTTTCTATATTACTATCCATTAAAATGTATCAGTATGAGTGTAAAACTTTTACTTGTTCTGTTAATAAAATAAAAAAATGTAAAACTTTTACTTGACAACTAAGACTTTTACTTGCTCTGCTAACAAAATGGACAAATTCACTTTCAGAAAAAGGCAATGTAGTTATAACTTCAAAAACCGCCTCAACAAATAAACCACCCTAAAATATATACAAAATAGCTTTAAAAAATATTTATAACAGCATCAAAAGATAAACAACATTAAAAAAACAAAAAACATTAAAAAAATCCTATAACCACCTCAAAAAACACCAAAAGAATAGAAATAGCATCAAAAAAATATAGTAACGCATCAAAAAATTATGGGATTATAACTGATGGCATTAAAAAATAGAAAAAAGCATAAAAAAAAGTTCAATAAATTACCAACCATTCGAACGAGAGGAAGGCCAAGATGAATACGTCTAAATTACCATTAAAAAGAATAAAACGTGCTTTCAATTCATTAAATAAATCAACTTATTTTATCAAATATTAATTAGCTCACATTAAAATTTAGGAGCTACTGCCGTTTTTTAAACTTTTGATTGTGGGTTACTGCATCGAAAACCCTTAATAGCACCTTAATAGCATCAAAAGATAAATTAATAGTCTAGGATACCGCTTCAAAAAACCCTCCATAGCCGCCCCAAATTCCACACAAATCGCATCATAAAACCTAAAACCGCCCCAAATCATCTCTTTCCCTCTAAAATTTTCGTTTTAGCTTTCTAAAATTTTCATTGCGCGCCACCTCTTCTGTGTTCCATAGCTGAATTCGTAAACCATTCTTTCTGTAAAACATCCATAGTCGACGCTACATCGGACAACATTCACATTGCATGCCGACCTCTATTCCGGTCGTCCCCGTCGCCTAAATCGCTCCACAAGCCTCCTCGGTTTCAATACGTTGGCATTTTCGAGTTTCTTTGTCGAATAAGGTATGTATGTATATATATATATATATATATATATATATATATATATATATATATATGTATATATGTATATATATATATATATATATATATATATATATATATATATATATATATCGATTTGTTTTCTTTTTATACTTTAGGAATCTTTAAGAATATGAGAAGAATATGAGAAGATGATGATGAATCTTTAGAATATATGATAAGATGAATACGTGACTATAGTATTGATTTTCTTTTTGTCAAAAAGCGTTATTACTTTAGGTTATATTTAGGAATCTTTAGAATATGAGAACAAACTATATGATGTCAGGAATCTTTAGAATATGTTTAGAATATGAGAAGATGTTTTATTCCGTTTAATAAATGTAATATTTGGCCCACATATATGGGGTCTACCAATTTCATTGGATCCGTAACTTTTATGTTAGATTATGTTTTTGTTTTTCTTATAATATACTATTGTATTGGAATATGTTATGCTCTAGTGTTTATCATGTTCTAGTGTTTATCATGGATAAAATTATTTTTAATTTGTATAATGTTGTTAGGTTATAAAAATGGATGAGGTAAGACCAATAACAAGAAAAAGAGGTCAACGTGGTATTGCTGCATTCAAGAAAAATTATCGACCTGAAGAGTATAATGTTAAGTTCAATGAGAATAATATCCCAAATGGTGGCATGTCAACCCAATTTATGTCTTGTTTTGGCATTAATGTTCAACAAAGGTTTCCGATAGATGAAGATCCGGGTAAAGTTAAAGATAAATATTTTGAAGATTTATGGTTGGAAGCTAAGGTATTATATTTTAATTTATTACAAATATGAATAACTTGTTAGTTAGTTATTATGTTTAACATTTTTTGTCTTGAAATTGTAGAAGCAATGGAATATCGAGTCTGATGACATGAAAGATTATATGAAGAGGAGAGCTGTTAAACTTGCATCAAATTTTAAATCAAGGCTAGTTTCAAAATTTGTAAATAATGAATTAGATGCATGTGCTGCATATACCTTTATACCTCGCGATGTTTGGGATAGATTCGTTACACAAAAAAACTACCCCTGAGTTTTTGGTATGTTTTAATTGTTTATTTATTATTATTATTGATAATATTATTAGTATGTTTACAAATAATTAATAAAATTTTGTTGATATGTGTGTAGGAAAAAAGTGCAAAAGCTAAAAAAAATAGTGCTAAAAAGAAATCCCAAAACCACGTAGGACGAGGTGGATGGCCGGGCCTTGAAAAAAAGAACACCTATTATATGGCCTCAACTTGTAGCAAAATATGAGTTTTTAAAAAACATACAAAATGAACGGTCTAAGTTGTATTTAATGTCTTTCACAATAAAAGACAAAGAAACCAAGATGTATGATCTTCCATAAACAGCAATTGAAAATTTCAAATTTTTGGTAACAATTGTGTTTTTTAAATAATGAGACTTTGATTATTTTTAGTAAATAAATGTTACCAAGTACTTTTTTTAATATAGGAACGAGAAGAGAAAAATATGATAGCCGATGGGAGCTATTATCAAAATGAGGAAGACTCGTTAGTTAGGCTTTTGGGCCCGAGCACGAGGGGCGATCACGGACGGTATCCAATATCATTGAGCCTACCAAGGTTTCAGGTGGATTGTTTAAGAATGTGAAAAAAAGTCGAAAATTGATACCGCGGGTCGACACGAACCAAACATTCCGTGAATCTAATGGTGTGTCCGATGGACGATTGGTAGAATATGCACCTATTGAGGTAATATATTTATAGTTTTTATATAAACTTATATTAGATTTATAGTTTTTTTTTTGTATGATTTGTAGGTTATGACAGCATGTGATTTGCTATTAAAAGTTGTTGATACTGATTGAAAGTAGCTTCTGGTATGGCATGGCCAACCTTAGAAACGGTTATACATTCAAAACCAATAAATGAAGGTTGTGTTAAAGTTCAAGTTGATGAGATCGTAGAAATATATGAGAACTTGCCTGTGCATGCTGTAACACAAACGAATGAAGTTGAATTTGTTAAACATCTGCTTCATAGCATCGTTCAGTGGTCGAGATATGCATTAAAGGTATATTTCTATTTAAATACAAAAATATATTTTAATATAGTTTTATTTAAATATTGCAATCTATTTAGCTTGCGAACAAAACACCGAGCAAGTCAAATAGTGGTACAAGAATGGGCTCGAATCACTCCTCTCCACAGATACACGTTGATGACACCACAACCTCATTTTATCGTCCACAGGTAGTCGTAGTCGACCAGTTCACTCTTATAAAATGTTGTTAATTTAGTTTTATTTGTTAATATTATAATTTTTTTTTTTGTTATTTTAGTTTGAGGAAAACCAATTTCCTTATCATCATCAAATGGACGCTAATGAACCTTTTCAAGGTGGTTTGGTTGATATGGTTAGTCTTAAAAAAACTTGTTTTATGTTTGTTTTTAGATGTTTAATGTTTGTATACAATCATATGTAGTACTAATGTTTTATGTTTGTTTTTAGATATTATCTATGAATCCACAACAAATTGATTTAAATGCACTCGGATCCGGGCCCAGGTTAGAACGTGAAAGCGATCCCGAAACCGATCCTGAACTCGAACTCGAACCCGAACCCGAACCCGAACCCGAACCCGAACCCGAACCCAAACCCGAATATGAATCCGAATCCGAACCCGAAATCGAACCGTTTACATGTGTAGATGATACTCTTTATATATCCTTGAGCAAAGTACAACAAAAAAGTCCTAAAATTCAAGCTATTGCTTTTCAAGTAGCAGACTTTTTTAAGAATGCACATGGCACTTATATTTTTTCACCCAGAGGGATGTATCGCGACAAAGTTCGACTTCCCATCCTATATAGCGAGGTGTTACAGTTATTTTTAAGGGGTTGGCTTGATTATAACATTATACATTGGTTTGCGATGTAAGTTATTATATTTTTAATATGGTATAATAAGATTTAGATATAATTAATTTTACTAACATTGTGTAGTATATATAGGTGTTTTTCTAGGTCTCCCAATTCCGAATGCGCTTTTTTTGATCCGTTACACATTGCAAGATTAGATACACAAATAAGGTTGACGGTTGTCGCCGAACATATCAAAGAAGTATTTTCGTATCATGAAGGCAAAAAATATTTTATTGCTCCATATTTACAGGGGTATTTTTTTCTTTCCATAATACATACGCATACATATACACACTACACATATATGCTTACTTGTTCTATATATTTTATTTTTGTAGTGACTATTGGGTTCTTTTTATCCTATGTCCGAATAGCAAATCTGCTTATATTCTGGATTCTTCAAAAAATGATGAAAAGAAATCAGACGAATACATTTTTGCTTCTTTGATAAATAGAATTTTCCCGGGACAATTTGATAAGTGGGAAACGGTAAAGGTATGTTTTTTGTTGTTTTTTTATCAATTTATTTCAAGTGGTTTGAAATATTTAATTGTGAATTAAATGTAGTGCTATAAACAAAAAAGTAGTTGAGAATGTAGATATATAATGATTAAACACATGCGAGAGTTTGTTGAGACCATTCAACATGATTTTCAAAATAAAGTGTCTAGTATATATTAAAAATATCAATTTTTCTATATAGTTGTATATATATTTATATAATTTGTTTGTTTGTTGCAGTTTTGGAAAAAGAAGATGTTTGCTTCACCTGATAAACTTGAAGATATGGTCTTAGAATTGATACCGCATTTGATTGAAATGATGAATGATAGTCGGAAAAGAACTTAGTAAGAATTCATTAGAATGTTTTGTGTTTTATTATAACTAAAATTTAAACTATAAATTATTTGTTTTTTATGTAATGGTGTAGTATTTTGTAATACCTTTTTGTTTATTGGTATTTTTTTTTGTTGCCATTGATGGCAACCAAATTGTGCTATTTAATAGAGCGTTTTTTTAGCCTAAGGTGGTTCCATTTTCTAATGATGTTGACTGTGGGTGTAAATGAGCCGAGCCGAGCCCGAGCTTGACAAAGCTCGAGCTCGGCTCGTTTAATTTGAGGAAGCTCGAGCTCAAGCTCGAGCTCGATTCGAGCCTTAAAATGAAGCTCGAGCTCGGCTCATGAATAATTTAGTGGGCTCGCGAGCCTAATCGAGCCTAAACGAGCCTGTATGTGTGTGTGTGTGTATATATATATATGTGTGTGTGTGTGTATGTATGTGTGTGTGTGTGTATATATATATATATAGAGAGAGAGAGAGAGAGGCTCGTTTAAGCTCGTTTAGGCTCGCGAGCCCATTAATTGAAGCTCGGCTCGAGCTCATTTAATTAACGAGCCTTATATTTAGGCTCGAGCTCGGCTCGGGCTCGTTTTATTCGATCTCGAGTCGAGCTTTTACCGAGTCGATCCCGAGTAGCTCACGAGTAGCTCGGCTCACTTACACCCCTAACTGTAAGCATCAACAACTGATTTATGATATTTTATGTTGCTATTATTCGTATTGCAGCATCAAAAAATAACTTTATTTTCTAAGGCTAACAACATCAAAAAATAACTTTATTTTCTAAAGCAGCATAAAAAAATAACTAGCATAAAAAAATAACTCAATTTAGCATAAAAAATAACTCTATTTTTTAAGGCTTAGAGCATCAAAAAATAATTCTATTTAGCATCAAAAAATAACTCTATTTTCTAAAACTATTTAATAATAGCATCAAAAAATAATTGTGTTTTTCTAAGGCTTAAGAACCGCCTCAAAAAACTAGTATAATTTATGAAGCTATTTTTTTAAGATGGTTTTGGATATTTTCTAAGGCGGTTTAAGAACCGCCTCAAAAAACAAGACGGTTTTATAATGCTATATTTTTTGAAGCGGTTAAATAACCGCATCAAAAAATAAAATAAACCGTTTTATTAAACATCTTCTGTACTAATGTAGAAAACCGATTTCTCTTTTTGATATTCTTCATATCCACATTCTTCTCGCATGAAGAATGCATATTGTTTTCTTATTTGGAGAGATAATAATTATTTTCTTTTATAAATAGCCCTTTATGCAATTTGGCAAACTTACGCAACCATGTGTAAATATTTCATAGCTTCAAAAAATAATGTTGTCATAATGGCAATAAGATATATGTATAATTATTAAGATGTAGTTAATATACAAAACCTACATAAATGGTCCAAGGTCATATAAATAGGAAACATGTTCTAACGCTTGTGATTTGGTCTTGAGATCATTTATATAAGTTTATTTATTAATTTTGGCCAAAAAACTTCATCTTCCTTAATAATGATACCAAAGCAAAGAGATATAGCCTTAAGGGTTGCTTTTAACCCACGAGTATAAGGATTAAACAAGCCAAAATGATATTTAGATTAGGGTTTTATGTTTGTCCTTAAGAGAAGTCAGTGTGTGTATATATAAGATTAGACAACCAAACTTACAAAGGAATATTAAGACTAAGTACTTAAGACCAAATACTTGAACTTGCATCAATGGAGTAATAAACAAGTAAGGCACTATGCTCAAAATAATTTAAACCGAGGTTTGAATTAAGCTCATATTAATCAAAAGACAATGAAAAATGTTGGGCTGAAGAGCTTTAATGAGATGATTAGTTACCATATTGTTAGTGCTTACGTGTTTGATACGAATGTCGTTTTCCTTCATTATTTCTCAAACGAGCATAGAATTTGCATTGATATTAAAATATTATATTATTCGAGAAGCTAACTGTTACAAAATTGTTACCAGAAATCTTTAAGGACCTTGAGATGGAATTTATGATCTTTAGCCATTTGATAAGAGCTTTCTTAAGAACTTTCCAATGACCTAGGTCGTGATGAGACTAATATATATCTACCTAACATACTGAATACACATGTGATATCAGGACAAGTACAAACTTGATCATATATTAGTCTTCCCACTAAATAACATGAGCATACATTAGAATTGGAAACACCTAATAAAATCTCCCTTAACTACTAAATCAACTGAAGGGGAGTAACGTTGCATGTTAAATCGATTTAGAACTTGCTCAATGTATGCCTTTGGGATAATCCTAAGGTCTCTTTAACTCGATCTTTGTGAATTTTAATGCCTATAACATAAGAGGCTTCACCTAGATCTCTCATGTAAAAAGAGCAGAAAGGTAAGAATTTTCATTAATGCAACAAGTCTAAGTCATTACTTACTAATAAGATGTCATTGACATATAATAAAAGTATAATAAATTTCCTCCCAATCCTTTTTAGGTATATATATTAATGTACTTAGTTTTTGTTGAAGTCGCTCACTTTCTTGACTTCGTCAATTTTTAAGGTACCATCGTTAAGAAGCTTGTTTGAGCCCATATATAGACTCATTGAGTCTATTATTAGGGTTTAATCACTTCAACGAACAATGAAAGCTTTCATACAAAGTAATAATGCATTTAGAAAACAAAGACCCCAATATTTATGTGGTTCATATAATCAGGATGATCAACTACATCCACGACGAACACGAGAAAGAGTTTTTATTAATTATATCGGATGGTTGCAGTCATACATTAGGTTACACAAATTTAGGGAATATAAGTACTAATGATTTTACCTGAATAGCCCGAAAACTCTGACGAATATCAGCCCATGACAAATTTTGGGAGTGGGACCTATGTTTGGTCCGACTAGTGACTATTAGGGTCAACGGGTGAATAATTATCCACAACTTAACATTTATTACTAACCCATTGGAGTGGTTCAATACGAGATTGTACTCCATTGGTCTCCTGATTTATTACATCATTATTACGGTTGAGTTTTATTAGGAGTTTCAAGTAAAGAATAAAGTAGAATAGGCAAAGTAATTGACAAATCTCTTTCACAACTATTCTTGAAGATGTATCCTTGTAACCATTTTTGTGAATCATTTATATACAATAAAAAATTACAACCATTTTTGGTGAATCATTTTAGTCTTAGCGCATTTACGGTTTTCATCAAAGTTATTAGTGTCTAAACAGGTAATCTGTGTTTGTGGGGTACTTGTGTATTAATGAGTTGTTAATGTTTTTTGTAGTTTGAACATATTTACGGTTTCAGAAAATTACACCAGAGAATGAATATTTTTCAACGGTTTGAGAAAATCGATTCACCACATCAAAACAACACCACAAAATGGAATCGGTTTAATATCGAAACCAAACCATAGAAATTGCAAAATCGAGCCATTAGAAAAACCACACATATCGGTTTTAAGAATACAAAACCACAACATTCGGTTGCAGTTTAGGTTAATCATAAAATTGCATCGTACACATCCATAACCGGAGCAATGACAATGAGAACAATGAACAACCATAAAGGTTTCTTAATTTGTATGACATCTTTCTAAATCCATTGTCTTAAGTTATTACAAACTACTCGACTCCAATGATAAAGAACTTCCAATTATGGTTGGTTTAGTATCTATAAATTGTTTAAAAATAAATAAAAAACAAAAAACTTATCTACCCATCTAATGTAAGAGTAAATTTTTGCCACGTGACATTCTCTAAGCCCTCATTTTTGCCTATTTGAAATACCTAACCTTATTGTATTATTTACTTCTTCTCCATTCTAGATCGTCCCCTTCCAGAATTATTGCAATCTAAGTTTATAAACATATTAATAATATTAACTACATTCTAATATAACATATCAATTTCCAAATTAAAATCTATTGCTATATCACACAAAATCAGGAAAGAATCGCAAGAAATCACACACATATCTTTGCAAGAAATCACACACATATCTTCTTTCTCTTTCTCTCTCTCTCTCTCTCTCACACACACACACACATGGATGGGGCGGATGGGGGGTCTTCTTCTGCGTCTTCCTCGGAGATTTTTATTCAAACCGTAATTTTTCGAGGCTGGTGTTTATCAAGACGATAATCGAAATAAATCCACTAAAGAAGGTGTAACACCCCATTTTCGCACGGGACTGACAATCCCGCGCCCTAACTATTAGCTACAGTTAATCCGACGGGTCTTAGGTGACAAATATCATAAGATTCCGATGCCTGAAGAACGTCACGACAGACCATCTATGTCATTAGCACAGTTATAAAAACTCACATGGGGAAACAATGATACATTTAGTTTACGAGGAAACATTCATTCAAACTCTTATGAACTCACCAAATTATTGTTGACACTTTTTTAAATCACTTGTATTCTTAGGAAATCATTAAAACAGGTAACAACAAGCTTTTAAGTATGGGACACTAAGGCGTCAGGCAAATCTTTTATCATCATATTGTAATTGATTTTAAAACATGTAACTCTTACAACAATATAACTTTTTGAAATATATTTATGATGGTTGTGTTTGTTTCGGCCACTATTATGCATTATGTTATGATACAATACATGAAATTCATCCACCCTCGGATGTTTCCGCCATCCTGGTTTGGGGGTGTGACATCATCTTGGTCAACCCAGCCAAGATAAAGGTGATGATGCGGTGGGAAGTGTCGAAGTCTCCATCTGAGATTCAAAGCTTCCTCGGTTTGGCGGGATATTATCGGATATTCATTCGAGACTTCTCCAAAATTGTTGTTCCTCTCACTAAGTTGATAAGGAAGGATGTTGTGTTTAATTAGGGGCCTGAGCAGCAGGCATCATTCGAGACTCTTCGCTAGAGACTGTGTGAGGCACCAGTACTTGCCTCCCCGAGGGAGTTGAGAATTTTTTTGGTCTACTGCGATGCATCCATTGTAGGGTTGGGTGTTGTGTTGATGCAAATGGGGGCA